TATCTGATTCACTCTCCTGCGTATCCGGTGGTGCTGGGGCTTCCCTGGTTGATTACCCATGACCCTACTATTTCGTGGCGAGAGAAAGCTCTTAAAGGGTGGTCTGCTCAGTGTGAGGGGCTGTGTCTGGGTGTTTCCATAGGGGCGACCTCGGTGGAGAGTCCGAATCTAATGCCAGCACTGCATATTCCCCCCGAGTATGAGGATTTGAAACTGGCGTTTAGTAAGACCAGGGCGGCGCAGCTGCCGCCTCATAGACAGGGGGATTGTGCGATAGATCTCCAGTCAGGAGCAGCCCTCCCGCGGAGCCATGTGTATCCCTTGTCTCAAGAGGAGAGGAAGGCGATGGAAACTTACATCGCCGAGTCTCTGAGACAGGGATACATACGGGCCTCCACTTCACCCGCTTCCTCGAGCTTCTTTTTTGTGAAGAAAAAAGATGGAGGTTTGCGCCCGTGTATTGATTACCGCGGTCTCAATCAGATTACGGTGAAGTACAGTTATCCACTTCCTCTGATTGCGACTATGACGGAGTCATTGCACGGTGCTCAGTTCTTCACAAAATTGGATCTCAGGAGCGCATATAACTTGGTGCGCATTAGAGAGGGCGATGAATGGAAGACAGCATTTAGCACGACCTCCGGTCATTACGAGTATCTCGTCATGCCATATGGGTTAATGAATGCTCCCTCAGTCTTCCAATCCTTTGTAGATGAGATTTTCCGGGACATGCAGGGGCAGGGAGTAGTCGTGTACATATTCTGGTGTACAGTTCTACCCGAGCTTAGCATGTAGCTCTGGTGCGCCGAGTGTTGAGGAGACTGTTGGAGCATGACCTATATGTCAAGGCAGAGAAATGTCTGTTCTTTCAGAAGTCGGTCTCCTTTTTGGGTTATCAGTTGTCTGCGTCAGGGGTGAAGATGGAGGTTGACCGGGTGTCAGCTGTGCGTAATTGGCAAACCCCAACCACTGTGAAAGAGGTGCAACAGTTCCTGGGTTTTGCGAATTATTACCTGAGGTTTATTCGGGGTTTTGGACAGGTGGCAGCTCCCATAACGTCTCTGTTGAAGGGGGGTCCGGTGCGCTTGCGGTGGTCTGCTGAGGCGGACAGGGCTTTTGGGAGACTGAAGGACCTGTTTACCTCGGCGCCGGTGTTGGCGCATCCGGATCCCGCTTTACCATTCCAGGTAGAGGTAGACGCGTCCGAGGCCGGTATTGGGGCCGTCCTCTCACAACGGTCTGGCACACCACCTAAGCTCCGCCCCTGTGCCTTTTATTCTAAGAAGCTCAGTCCGGCGGAGCGGAATTATGACGTAGTGGACAGGGAGCTGTTAGCCGTGGTACAGGCCCTAAAGGTGTGGAGGCATTGGCTTGAGGGGGCTCAACACCCTTTCCTCATTTTGACGGACCACCGTAACCTGGAGTACATCCGGGCAGCTAGGAGACTGAATCCTCGCCAGGCCCGCTGGACTATGTTTCTAGCCCGGTTTGTGTTTAAAATCACTTACATCCCTGGGTCCCAGAACGGGAAGGCAGATGCCCTGTCTCGGCGGTATGACACGGAGGAGAGGTCCGTTGAGCCCACTCCCATACTACCAAAGTCTTGTCTGGTGGCACCGGTGGTATGGGAGGTCGATGCAGAGATCGAGCGGGCGTTACGCACCGACCCAAGTCCTCCACAGTGTCCAGTGGGTCGGACGTACGTTCCGCTCGAGGTACGCGATCGCCTCATTTATTGGGCTCATACGTCCCCCTCCTCTGGACATCCAGGTATCGGCCGGACAGTTCACTGCCTTAGCACTAAGTACTGGTGGCCAACGTTAGCCAGGGATGTGAGGGTTTATGTATCCTCCTGTTCGGTGTGTGCACAGTGTAAGGCGCCCAGACATTTGCCCAGGGGTAAGCTACAACCCCTGCCCGTTCCACAACGACCCTGGTCCCACCTCTCGGTGGACTTTGTTACAGACCTTCCCCCCTCACAGGGGAATACTACCATCCTGGTCGTTGTGGATCGGTTCTCGAAGGCCTGTCGTCTCCTTCCCATGCCGGGTCTCCCTACTGCCCTACAGACCGCTGAGGCTCTGTTTACCCATGTCTTCCGGCATTACGGGGTACCCGAGGATATAGTGTCTGATCGAGGCCCCCAGTTCACCTCCAGAGTGTGGAGAGCCTTTATGGAACGGTTGGGGGTTTCGGTGAGCCTTACCTCGGGTTACCACCCGGAGAGTAATGGGCAGGTTGAACGTGTCAACCAGGATGTGGGTAGGTTTCTGAGGTCTTATTGCCAGGGCCGGCCGGAGGAGTGGGCGAGATACGTTTCGTGGGCCGAGATGGCGCAGAACTCTCTCCGCCACTCCTCCACCCAACTAACCCCTTTCCAGTGTGTGTTAGGGTACCAGCCGGTTCTGGCACCTTGGCACGAGAGCCAGATCGAGGCCCCTGCGGTGGATGAGTGGGTGCGGCGCTCGGAGGAGACATGGAACGCTGCCCACGTCCATCTGCAGCGGGCCATCCGTCGGCATAAGACGAGCGCCGATCTCCACCGCAGTGAGGGGCCTGTATACGCACCTGGAGATCGAGTCTGGCTCTCGACCAGAAACCTGCCCCTCCGCCTGCCCTGCCGGAAGCTGGGTCGGCGGTTTGTGGGGCCATTCAAAGTCCTGAGGAGGTTGAACGAGGTGTGTTACAGGTTAGAACTGCCTATTGATTACAGGAATATTAACCCCTCGTTCCATGTGTCTCTCCTCAGGCCGGTGGTAGCTGGTCCACTCCTGGACTATGAGATAGAGGAGACTCCTCCGCCCCCGTTGGACATCGAGGGGGCTCCGGCGTACAATGTGAGGTCCATCCTTGATTCGAGACGCCGGATGGGGGGTCTCCAATATCTCGTGGAGTGGGAGGGGTACGGCCCGGAGGAGCGGTGCTGGGTGCCGAGGAGGGACATATTAGACCTGTCCCTGCTGACCGAGTTCCATCGGAGTCACCCTACGCGCCCTGCTCCGCGTCGTCCTGGTCGTCCCCGAGGCCGGGATCGGCGCACGGCTGGAGCCGCGCGTCAAGGGGGGGGGGTACTGTCACGGTTTCGGCCGAGGCTGCTCCTCCTCCTTGTTCGGGCAGGCTTCGGCGGTCGTCGTCCCCGGAGTACTAGCTGCCACCGTTCGATCTTTCATGTTTGTTTGGTTTTGTCTGTTTGTACACCTGTCCCTTGTTAGTGTTTGATTTTGTTTCCTATTTAGTTATCGTGTGTTGGGTCAGGTGTTATGTGTGATTGTTATGTCAGCTGTTACTGTTGATGGGTTTTCTCTCTCGTATTGTTTGTTGTCGAGAGTCCGCACTGCGTGCGCCTTTTCTTGTTTTTACGCACTGTTGTGTGTGTGCGTAATTTGTTCTTGCCTCCCGGTTGGGTTGGCTATTCACCTGTTTGGAGTTCTATTTTGGATTACTAAAGTCTGTTGACGAACACCCTTGTTCCTGCGCTTGATTCCCTGCACCACATCCACACTCAGCGTTCTGACAGGTGTTTTATATATTGGTTCTAATCCAGCCAGGTGTTTTATATATTGGTTCTAATCCAGCCAGGTGTTTTATATATTGGTTCTAATCCCAGCCAGGTGTTTTATATATTGGTTCTAATCCAGCCAGATGTTTTATATATGGGTTCTAATCCAGCCAGGTGTTTTATATATTGGTTCTAATCCCAGCCAGGTGGTTTATATTTTGGTTCTAATCTCAGCCAGGTTTTTTAGATATTGGTTCTAATCCCAGCCAGGTGTTTTATATATTGGTTTTAATCCCAGTCAGGTGTTTTATATATTGGTTCTAATCTCAGCCATGTTTTTTAGATATTGGTTCAAATCCAGCCAGGTGTTTTATATATTGGTTCAAATCCAGTCAGGTGTTTTATATATTGGTTCTAATCCCAGCCAGGTGTTTTATATATTGGTTCAAATCCAGCCAGATGTTTTATATATGGGTTCTAATCCAGCCAGGTGTTTTATATATTGGTTCTAATCCCAGCCAGGTGGTTTATATATTGGTTCTAATCTCAGCCAGGTTTTTTAGATATTGGTTCTAATCCCAGCCAGGTGTTTTATATATTGGTTTTAATCCCAGTCAGGTGTTTTATATATTGGTTCTAATCTCAGCCATGTTTTTTAGATATTGGTTCAAATCCAGCCAGGTGTTTTATATATTGGTTCTAATCTCAGCCATGTTTTTTAGATATTGGTTCAAATCCAGCCAGGTGTTTTATATATTGGTTCAAATCCAGTCAGGTGTTTTATATATTGGTTCTAATCCCAGTCAGGTGTTTTATATATTGGTTCTAATCCAGTCAGGTGTTTTATATATTGGTTTTAATCCCAGCCAGGTGTTTTATATATTGGTTCTAATCCCAGTCAGGTGTTTTATATATTGGTTCTAATCCCAGCCAGATGTGTTTATATATTGGTTCTAATCCATGCCAGGTGTTTTATATATTGCTTCTAATCCAGCCAGGTGTTTTATATATTTGGTTTCTAACCCAGCCAGGTGTTTTATATATTGGTTCTAATCCCAGTCAGGTGTTTTATATATTGGTTCTAATCCCAGCCAGGTGTTTTATATATTGGTTCTAATCCCAGTCAGGTGTTTTATATATTGGTTCTAATCCCAGCCAGGTGTTTTATATATTGGTTCTAATCCAGCCAGGTGTTTTATATATTGGTTCTAATCCCAGCCAGGTGTTTTATATATTGGTTCAAATCCCAGTCAGGTGTTTAATATATTGATTCTAATCCAGCCAGGTGTTTTATATATTGATTCTAATCCAGCCAGGTGTTTTATATATTGGTTCTAATCCCAGTCAGGTGTTTTATATATTGGTTCTAATCCAGCCAGGTGTTTTATATATTGGTTCTAATCCGGCCTGGTGTTTTTTTATATTGGTTCTAATCCAGCCAGGTGTTTTATATATTGGTTCTAATCCAACCTGGTGTTTTTTTATATTGGTTCTAATCCAGCCAGGTGTACACGGGATCCCAGTTCACTATCCCTAGGATTCTGCGGATGCACACAGGTACCTATGCCTGTCTGGCTCAGAACACATACCTCAACACCCGCACTCACAAGACCATCAGCCTCACCGTCTACTGTGAGTAACCTCTGAGTTCTAACCCCTGACCTTTAACCCCTGACCTTTAACCCCTGACCTCCAAGCCCTGACCTCCAACCCCTGACCTTTAACCCCTGATTCCCATCACCTCTCTCTACCTTCAATGGGATACATTTCAAAGTGCTTAAACACATAAAATAGTAAAAGATAAAAACTAAACATACCAAAATTATATCAAATAAAACAATAGTATAATAACAGTCTATCTGAGACTAATAAAAAATTAAATAAGATATACATCTATAAAATGGGGGAAAGTTAATCAAATAGATTGTATGTCTAAAAGCACCATAAGTAACAGCACAGCTAAAAAAAAGTGTGTTTTTAAGATCCTTCTTAAAAATGTCTACAGTTTCTGAGGCCTTCAGATCCTGTGGCAGGCTCTTCCAGTCCTTCCTTCCTCTTCCTCACCAAACGTTTTGGTTTTGACCTTTGGAACAACTAAAAGGCCAGTGCCAGACGATTTGAGGGACCAACAGGGCACATATGTGACCCACCACCTGGATGCCGTCCTATGTAGCAAAATCTGAAACGTTTTTTTTTACATTGGATAAAAGTAGATACTTAGAGCTTGAACATTTTATATTATACAATGTAGTTGAGTAACAATGGGAAAGTAATTCTGCTAGTAAATGTCCCGTGAAAGTTTTGGTACACCAACTGCAGAGCTCTTCTTTGTCTACACCCATTCAGCATCGTTCACACCCTCTTAAGCCTTAGCCCCACCCATCTCTTTAAGGATTCACATGTGAGGCCATGTGCTAAACAGAGTGAATAAGGTGGTGTAGTAAACAATCAAAGATTTCAAGCTAAAAGTGGTGAAAGTAGTGGCAAAAGGCAGTAGTAAAAATACACTTTACCTTGGCCTAGTCTATATCCTAATCTGACTTTGGTGCAGGTCATGTTGTTCTTCACATTGCCGTCTCTGGTAAACACACACTATATCAAATAAAATCAAAGTTTATTTGTCATTTGCACAGGATACAGAAGGTGTAAACGGTACATTCAAATGGTTACTTGCATAGTGGAGTCTTTTGTTTAGACATGTAGCTAGCTAGCTAGCTAGTTAGCTATCTTGCTAAACAATGAACCATAATGCCTTCTCATACTACTGTGGACCATGCATGAATCTGTAGGTAGCTAAAGCTAACCAACTACAGTGCCTTGCAAACGTATTCATCCCCCTTGGCATTTTTCCTATTTTGTTGCATTACAACCTGTAATTTAAATGGATTTTTATTTGGATTTCATGTAATGGACATACACAAAATAGTCCAAATTGGTGAAGTGAAATGAAAAAGTAACTTGTTTATTCAACAAAAAAATAAAACGGAAAAGTGGTGCATGCATATGTTTTCACCCCCTTTGCTATGAAGCCCCAAAATAAGATCTGGTGCAACCAATTACCTTCAGAAGTCACATCATTAGTTAAATAAAGTCCACCTGTGTGCAATCGAAGTGTCACATGATCTGTCACATGATCTCAGTATATATACACCTGTTCTGAAAGGCCCCAGAGTCTGCAACACCACTAAGCAAGGGGCACCACCAAGCAAGCGGCACCATGAAGACCAAGGAGCTCTCCAAACAGGTCAGGAACAAAGTTGTGGAGAAGTACAAATCGGGGTTGGGTTATAAAAAAATATCAGAAACTTTGAACATCCCACGGAGCACCATTAAATCCATTATTAAAAAATTGAAAGAATATGGCACCACAACAAACCTGCAAAGAGAGGGCCGCCCACCAAAACTCACGGATCAGGCAAAGAGGGCATTAATCAGAGAGGCAACAAAGACACCAAATATAACCTTGAAGGAGCTGCAAAGCTCCACAGCGGAGATTGGAGTATCTGTCCATAGGACCACCTTAAGCCGTACGCTCCACAGAGCTGGGCTTTACGGAAGAGTGGCCAGAAAAAAGCCATTGCTTAAAGAAAAAAATAAGCAAACACATTTGGTTCACCAAAAGGCATGTGGGAGACTCCCCAAACATATGGAAGAAGGTACTCTGGTCAGATGAGACTAAAATTGAGCTTTTTGGCCATCAAGGAAAACGCTATGTCTTGCGCAAACCCAACACCTCTCATCACCCCGAGAACACCATCCCCACAGTGAATAGTTATGCACACTCAAGTTTTCTGTTTTTTTGTCTTATTTCATGTTTGTTTCACAATAAAAATTATTTTGCATCTTCAAAGTGGTAGGCATGTTGTGTAAATGAAATGATACAAACCCCCAAAAAATCTATTTTAATTCCAGGTTGTAAGGTAACAAAATAGGAATAATGCCAAGGGGGGTGAATACTTTCGCAAGCCAATGTAGGTTCAATGTTAACTAGCAATGCAAATTGATTACACAGATCATACACGTAAAATTAGCTAGTGAGCCAGCAAGCCAAAGTTCACTAGCTAGCTTACAGTACGCTTTAATTTGCAATGAAAATGACTTTCTGACAAAATTAGAAACGTATAATATAGTTAGCTAGACTCTTACCCATATAAATGGATGGACGCTTCTCCCTCTCTGTCACAGATGCCATGGTTGCCCTTAGTTTGAAAGTGTAATCCGGAGACAGGTGTTTTATACACCAGCCTCCTGTGTTCTCTTTTCGACTCCCTACGCATTTGGCAATCATCTCTCTGCTTCCACCGGGCATCCCACTGATTTCAAAACTTGGTCAACTTCTTCTGTGACAACAACACTGTTGAATGTCGTTTCTTCCCCCATCACTGTCATGGATTTCCTCATCGTCTGATTCATTTTCAGAGTCAGAGAGAGTCAGCATGGCACGATCGTCCTCCAGAAAGTAGTCCATCACAACTTTTCCCACTGATCTTTGTCGATAGCGCCATTAACTTCAGGGTTAGGGTTAGGGTTAGGGTTAGGGTTAGGGTTAGGGTTAGGGCAATGGGTTAGGGTTAGGGCAATGCAACACTTTCTCAGTTTGGGCACTTTCTCCTGTAAAGTAGTGACATGCGAAACGGGTCTGAGGGACCGACCGGAGGATCTGAGGGACCGACCGGAGGATCTGAGGGACCGACCGGAGGATCTGAGGGACCGACCGGAGGATAACAGCATGTCAGACATCTATTCAGGTGGCAGAGGATCTGAGGGACCGACCGGTCACATATCTTAACAGCATGTCAGACATGTATTCAGCTGCAAGGCCACATGGTGCTTTAAAAATCAGAATGGTCTCACTTGAGTTGCTTGTATACAACTTGTTTATATATTTGATACTTTTTACGTTATAAACATTTTTTGTCCTTATTTTTGACAATCTTAATTCACTTTCATGGCATTTTCTGTAAATGCAATAATGCAACTTTTGACACAAATCAACTACTTTGACCACTTTGCAACAACTTAGACGAACAGTTTGAGCGTTTAGCTCTTTGTCTACTTCTCTGCTACTCAAATCTGGCTTTGAACAAAAAATGATATTCTGATAAAAAGTTACAGCTGTTTTAGTAACCACATCAACAACATTTTGTGTATATACTCGGAATACATATCCCAAAGGAAATAAATGATCTCACTCCAATAAAATTTTATAGAAAGTTAGCAAAAATAGATAAGATCTTGCTACCGTGGAAAAATCACTCTGATTAACTCTTTAGTATTATCCCAGTTTACCTATTTGCTTATGGTCTTGTCTACGCCTAGGGAACAGTTTTTTAAATTATATGAGAAAAAAATATTCAATTTTATTTGGAATTAAACGGGCCTATTTATATAATGAATATGAATTCGGAGGACAGAAATGATTAAATATTAAAGCATTAGACCTATCACTAAAAGCTTCAGTCATACAAAAGTTATACTTAAATCCGAACTGGTTCACTAGCAAATTAGTAAGATTGTCTCACCCAATGTTCAAGAATGGCCTTTTTCCCTTTATTCAGATTACAACCTCACACTTTCAGTTATTTGAAAAGGAAATCATCTCCCAAATATCACTATTTCTAAAACAAGTGTCACGCCCTGGCTCTGGGGACTCTAGTATGTTGAGCCAGGGTGTGAGTTTTCATTTGTGTTCGTTCTAGTATTGTGTTTCTATGTTGGCCATTGTGGTTCTCAATCAGAGGCAACGTGAATCAGCTGTTGCTTGTTGTCTCTGATTGGGACCCATACTTAGTCAGCCTGTTTCCCACAGTATGGTGTGGGATCTTGTTCCTTTTGGTTTGTGTTTGTACCGTAGGACTTCACGTATCGTTTGTTGTTTTGTTCGTGTAACATTTATAAAAAGCATGTTCACCTTCCACGCTGCGCCTTGGTCCTCCTCTGTATACGACGATCGTGACAGAAGATCCCACCAATACAGGACCAAGCAGCGTGCCCAGGCAGGAGAGGAGAAGCGGCGCCAACCGGGCAGTCGTCGGACAGGCGAGGGGCACCCCCAAGACATTTTTAGGGGGGGGCACATGGCAGGGACGACGGGGCCACTGGAGGCAGATAAGGGGCGAGTTGGTGGACGAGGAGAGAAGGCCACCGGGTTACGGGAGCCATTGGTGTGTAGAGGGAAGGAAAATGTAGAGGCACGGCGAGAGGTACTGAAGTGTGTTGCCAGTCCGTTCCGGCCCGTTCCTGATCCCCGTGTAAGGCCAGTGGTGTGTGTTCCCAGTACGGTCCGGCCTGTTCCTGTCCATCGCGCCAAGCCTATGGTGCGCGTCGCCAGCCCGGCCCGGCCTGTTCCTGCCCCTCGCACCAAGCCTATGGTGCGCGTCGCCAGCCCGGCCCGGCCTGTTCCTGCTCCCCGCACCAAACCTGTGGTGCGCATCGCCAGCCCGGTCCGGCCTGTTCCTGCTCCCCGCACCAAACCTGTGGTGCGCATCACCAGCCCGTGCCCGTTTCACCGGTGCCTGGTCAGGTACCGGTCAGCTGCTCCACACCGGAGCCTGAGCCAGTGGGGCTAGACCAGACCAGGGGCACTACGGGGGGGTTAGTAGAGGGTTGTGGTCAAGCCCGGAGCCGGAACCGCCTCCGAGGAGGAATGCCCACCCAGCCCTCCCCTGTCCGCGCCTTTAGGGGGGGGGGGTACTGTCACGCCCTGGCTCTAGGGACTCTTTTAAGTTGAGCCAGGGTGTGTAGAGTTTATGTTTTGTGCTCGTTGTGTCTAGTCTAGTTTTTGTATATCTATGTTGGCCAGAGTGGTTCTCAATCAGAGGCAACGAGTATCAGCTGTTGCTGGTTGTCTCTGATTGGGAACCATATTTAGTCAGGTGGTTTTCCCACAGTGTTTGTGGGATCTTGTTCCGTGTTGTTCCATGTTTTGCACCTGTGGACGTCACGTATCGATTTGTTGTTTTGTTCGTGTATCATTTAATAAAAAGTATGTTCACCTTCCACGCTGTGCCTTGGTCCTCTATATCCGACGATCGTGACAGAAGATCCCACCAGAACTGGACCAAGCAGCGGGTCCAGGGGCCATCGCCAGGGAAATCTCTAGCGGATATCCAGCGCCTCCTCGACTGGGTCAAGCCGTGTGAGCAAGAGAGGGGCTTGACTTGGAAGCAGAAGGGCGAAAGGCTGGCGAGAGATATGGAGACCTGGTCCACGGGAAGGAGAGAAGCCCAGAAAATTTTTAGGGGGGGGCTCATGCCGTGGACGACGGGGCAGCAGGAGACCGCGATAGAGCGGCCCAGCGGGTTGGCAGAGGAGGCCGCCAGGTTACGGGGGCCACTGGTCAAAAAGGGGAAGGAAGGTGTAGAGGCACGGCGAGAGGTACTGGGGTGTGTTACCAGTCCGGTCCGGCCCGTTCCTGATCCCTGCGTAGGACCAGTGGTGTGTGTCCCCAGTACGGTCCGGTCTGTTCCTGTCCCTTGCACCGAGCCTGTGGTGCGCGTTGCCAGCCCAGTCCGGTCCATTCCTGCTCTCCGCACCAAGTCAGTGGTGCGCTTCGTCAGCCCGGTCCGGCCCGCTCCTGCTCCCCGCACCAAGCCAATGGTGCGCGTCGCCGGCCCGGCCCGGCCTGTTCCTGCTCCCCGCACCAAGCCAATGGTGCGCGTCGCCGGCCCGGCCCGGCCTGTTCCTGCTCCCCGCACCAAGCCTATGGTGCGCATCGCCAGCCCGGCCCGGCCTGTTCCTGCTCCCCGCACCAGGCCAATGGTGCGCGTCGCCAGCCCGGTCCGGCCAGCTCCTGCTCCCCGCACCAAGCCAATGGTGCGCGTCGCCAGCCCGGTCCGGCCCGCTCCTGCTCCCCGCACCAAGCCTATGGTGAGCGTCGCCAGCCCGGTCCGGCCCGTTCCTGCTCCCCACACCAAGCCAGTGGTGTGCATCGTCAGTCCGGCACGGCCCGTGCCTGTTCCACCGGTGCCTGGTCCGGCACCGGTCAGCTGCTTCACGCCGGAGCTAGAGCAATCCGCTCCACCAGTGTGCAGTCCAGCTCCGGCCAGCGGGGCCAGACCGGACCAGGGGTACTTTGGGGGGTTGGAGAGGGAGTGGGGATCAGGCCCGGAGCCGGATCCGCCGCCAAGGCGGAGTGCCCACCCGGTCCCTCCCCTGTGGTGTTTGGTTGGCGCGGCCGGAGTCCGCGTTTGGGGGGGGGTACTGTCACGCCCTGGCTCTGGGGACTCTAGTATGTTGAGCCAGGGTGTGAGTTTTCATTTGTGTTCGTTCTAGTATTGTGTTTCTATGTTGGCCAGTGTGGTTCTCAATCAGAGGCAACGTGAATCAGCTGTTGCTTGTTGTCTCTGATTGGGACCCATACTTAGTCAGCCTGTTTCCCACAGTATGGTGTGGGATCTTGTTCCTTTTGGTTTGTGTTTGTACCGTAGGACTTCACGTATCGTTTGTTGTTTTGTTCGTGTAACATTTATAAAAAGCATGTTCACCTTCCACGCTGCGCCTTGGTCCTCCTCTGTATACGACGATCGTGACAACAAGCCATAGAAAGTTGGTTGCAATTTCAATTTAATCCTCCAGAAACGACAGAACAAATAATGCAACAAATATTGTGGTTAAACTCAAATATACTAATAGACAAAAAAACTTGACAAAATGTTTAAAAAAGGTATAATCTTGGTAAATGATATAATCGGTAGGACTGGTGGAGTTATTTACATTTTCATTTACATTTTAGTCATTTAGCAGACGCTCTTATCCAGAGCGACTTACAGTTAGTGAGTGCATACATTATATATATTTTAATACTGGCCCCCCGTGGGAATCGAACCCACAACCCTGGCATTGCAAACGCCATGCTCTACCAACTGAGCTACATCCCTGCCGGCCATTCCCTCCCCTCCCCTACCCTGGACGAATTGTGCGCCGCCCCATGGGTCTCCCGGTCGCGGCCGGCTACGACAGAGCCTGAATACGAACCAGGATCTCTAGTGGCACAGCTAGCACTGCGATGCAGTGCCTTAGACCACTGCGCCACTCGGGAGACACATGTTATGTCGCACATGCAGCTAACAAAAACATATGGAAATGTCTGCTCTACCCAAAATTACAACCAAATAATTGCAGCCTTACCGCAAAAATGAAAGAGGAAAGTGGAAGGGGGAGAAAGTAAGGAACTTGTCTGTCGGCCCTGCATTAAATAACATAATTGCTTAAAGAAAACTGTGATAAATAAAAATGTATACCAGTTTCATTTAAGGACCAAAGGATTGACAGCCGTCTCATATAGATTGCAAAATAGTTGGGAAGAGATTTTTGACATACCGATCCCATGGCATAGTGTTTATGAACTGATACGCAAAACGACACCGTATTCAAAACTTAGAATCTTTCAATTTAAATTATTATATAAAATTCTTGCTACAAATAGAATGTTATTTATATGGGGGATACAATCTTCCCAGCTCTGCAGATTTTGCTGCGAAGAGACAGAATCATTAGATCATTTGTTTTGGTACTGTCCATTTGTAGCTTGTTTTTGGACACAGGTCCAGGAATGGCTAAAGGATTGCAATATTTACCTGGAGCTAACCCTGCAGATAGCATTACTGGGTGATCTGAAAAGTCATAGTCAATCAATCAATAATATAATAATACTTTTAGCAAAAATGTTTATTTTCAATTTACACTCTGTAGAAACAATGAGAATATAAAGGTTCAGAACTTTTGTAAAACATCACAGTACAGTTGAAAAATAAATGGCAAATAGAAATCCTATATGGATGGTGTTAAGAGATAGATGGGTGGTGTTGAATGGAGTTGAAGGATGGGACTAATAACAACTAACAACAACTAATAACAAGACAACTAATAATGTAAGCATACTGTGTCCATAATAAGTACATAGGTTATAGGTTGAGAGCTTTTGTGAAAGAGCACAGTTAGAAAGATATGGCATATAGAAGCAAACCGGATGGACATCATGAAAATGACCGGAGAGGTTGAGAGTAGAGGAAGTTTCAGGAGTAAAAACAAACAAAATATAATTATTATAAAATTGACTGTGTCCATAAAATGTATATAGCAGGTATAAACTGGAAGTAGAGGCCTAAGCATTGTTGTTCACTAGTTTACTCCAATTAGGGAAGGGGTGGTGGGGTTGGAAAGTAATAAAGGGGAATATAAAATAAATAAAAAATAAATAAAATATATATAACAACATTTTGTGTAACTTTTTTGCAAACAACTGCCGTTTTGAGCACTACCCAAATAAGTTGGACAACAAGTTAGAGGGTGTGAAATATTAGTCTACTTCTCTGCTATTCATATCTGTTCACTGAACCAAATAGTCACTACGGATCTTACAGTACAGCTGCTATATTAACTGCAGTACCACATTTTTACCACTCCCCCAACAAGTCAGACAAAAACATAGCGGGTATGAAAGCCTCCCCTACTTCTCTGCTTGTCAAATCTGAAAACAGGTTAGGAATAGCCTCTACCAATCTGTAGATACATGTAGAGCTGTTTTAATAACCCATCAACTGCTCTCTTTCTAGCTGCAGTAAATCATGTCTGAAGCTAGCAGATTAATTATTTACCAACAAAAGCTGCACATTCCAATAAAACCACATCAGGTTTTGAAGTTCACTTTCCTTGCTTTGTGTAACAACACTATCATGAATCTAGCAAATACATTTTGTGGTTCAGAGTGCATTATTTAGTTAATATTAAAGCACAAACTTACTGCTTTAGCCAAAAAGGAGCAGTGTTGCCAAGGCTACTGTTGAATGATTGTCTTAAAAGCTCTTCAAATTCCCATGATTTGACAATCTGTTTCAGACCGAACAGCTAGCGCTAAGAATACTTTCCCAGTCTGGAGCGCCTGGAATGATGAAGGGAAGATTTGTAATGCTTACTAGATTTGTCCTCCTTTTCCAGAATCATGCTCCATGCTCCATATAACTTAACTGGCTGGTTTGCCTGTCTCAAAAGAGAAGGGTGGGCTGTATCCCTCTGATTGGATTGAGAGGATTAGGAGTACCTTCTACTAATAAGAAGTTACACTACTGACCACACCTACTGACCACACAGCTACAGACCACAACTACTGACCACACAACTACTGACCACACACCTACTGACCACACAGCTACTGACCACACAGCTACTGACCACACAACTACTGACCACAACCACACAGCTACTGACCACAACTACTGACCACACAGCTACAGACCACAACTACTGACCACACAACTACTGACCACACACCTACTGACCACACAGCTACTGACCACACAGCTACTGACCACACAACTACTGACCACAACCACACAGCTACTGACCACAACTACTGACCACACAGCTACTGACCACAACTACTGACCAAAACTACTACTGAACACAACTACTGAACACAAAACTACTGACCACAACCAAACAAGTACTGATAACATACCTACTGACCACTCAACTGCTGACCACAACTACTGACCACAACCACATTTCTGACCACAACCACACTTCTGCTGACCACATCTAGTCGCCACAACCACAACCAAACAACTTCTGAACACACAACTACTGACCACAACCACACAACTACTGACCACAACCAAACTACTGCTGACCACATCTAGTTACCACAACCAAAACCACACAACTTCTGAACACACAACTACTGACCACAACCACACAACTTCAAACCACACACCTACTGACCACTCAACTGCTGACCACAACAACTGACCACAACCACACTACTTCTGATCACAACAACACTGCTGCTGACCATACAACTACTGAACACAACCACACAACTACTGACCACAACCCCACAACCTCTGACCAAAACCACACAACTTCTGACCACATCTAGTGAACACAACACACAACAACCACTACACACACTATGACCCAAAAAATACCACCTACTGGGCCCACAACCACCACAAGCTACTGACCACAACTACTGACCACACAGCTACTGACCACAACTACTGACCACAAAGCTACTGACCACAAAACTACTGACCACACAGCTACTGACCACAAAATATGCAACCACCCCAGCTACTGAACCCCAACTACTGACCAAAAAATACGACCACACAACACTGACCACACACACTCTGGACCACAATAATGACCAAAACTAACTGACACCCCACCTTCTGACCACCAAAAAATACTGACCAAAAACAACTTTACACAACCACCCCAACCCCAATTTTGACCACAACCAACTCTGCTGCGACATTAGTACCCAAAACCAACAAAACTTTCTGACACCCCACAACTTTGACCACACCAAACAATACTGAACACAACCAAACAAACTTCGGACCACAAACTAAGACCCCAACCAAAACTTCTGACAACAACCACACAAATCTGACCACATCTAGTCACCACACCCACAACCAAAACAACTTCTGAACCCCACAACCACGACCACAAATTTTCCACACAATACTTACCAAAAAACCACCAACTTCACCACACAAACTTCTGAAAACCCAAAATTCTGACAAACACCACACACCCCAAAATTCTGCCACACAAACTTTGACCACAACCACACAAAATACTGAAAAACCCCCACAAAAAACTGACCCCAACAACCACAACTACTTACCACATTAGTCCCACAAACACTACTACTGAAACAACCACGCAACTACTCACCACAAACCACACACAATTCTGACAAACAGACTGCACTGACTTAAATGAAACCCCAAAAATATGACACCCCCAACTTCTGACCACAACCACACAAACTTCTGACCCACAACCCACAAAAAATTTTTGACCCCAAAAACCCCCAAAAACTACTGACCCCAAAAACCAACTACTGACCCCATTAGTGACCAAAACCCCACACTACTGACAAACAAACAAATCTGACACAAACGCTTACCATGTAGGACCCCCAACCACAATTTTGACAACAACCACATGAAACCCCAACCAACCCCAACTACTTAAAAACCCCACCCACCACACAACTCTGACCAAAACACACAAATTCTGATTAAACCCAAAAAACAAACAACCTTTTAACAAACCACATTTATGCCATAAACACAAACTACTGACCAACAACCACAATTCTGGGCACATTTTGACCAACCACTACTGACAACAACCACACCCAAAAATTTTGACCAAAAACCACACAACTCTGACCCAATTCTATTGACACAACCACAAACTTTGACCAAAAACCCCACAACTTGAAACCCCACCACACAAACTAAATAATTAAACACTACTGGAAAACCCCCAAATTTTGACCACAAACTAACTGACCAAAACCCCCTTTGAACTTACTACAAAACAACTACTACGATAACCAAAACCCCAAAAACTTCTGACCACAACCACACCCTATGGCCATAAACACACAAACTACTGACCCCAAACCACAATTTGAGAAAAAACAACTACTGACAAACAACAAATGCAACAACTATGACCAAAACCCAACCAACACAAATTTCCATAGCCACAAAAACACACAAACTACTGACCCTCAATTTACCACAACTCTGACACAACACAAACTCTGGGCCACAACCACACAACTTTTGACCCCACCACACAACCACGACCAAAAACCCAAATTCTCCACCCACAATTTTCTGACCCCAACCACACAATTTCGACCAAAAACCACATAACTAATGACCACAACCCCACTAACTAATGACACAATTAAAATTGACAACCAACTAATGACAAAAAAACTCAACTGACCCCAAAAAACCCCAAAACTTCTGAAACCACAACAAAACAACTAGCCACCAACACTGGGCCAACTAGGACAACCACACAACTCTGAAAAAACACAACTTCTGACCACAACCAACAACTGTGGAACAACATCTATGACCACAACCATAACTATGACAACAACTACACAAACTCCATACCACAAACTTTTGACCAAAACCCCAAACTTCTGACCCACAAACCCCAACTAGAAACCCCAATCAGAAAACTTGACCACAAACCACACAATTTTAAAAAACCACACAACCACTGAACCCCAACCAACTTGCTACCACAACACCACACATATGACCACAACCACACAATTCTGACCACAACACACAATTTTGACCAAACCCAAACTTGAACACAACTAGTGAAAAAAACTAGTATGACCCCAAACAACAATGAAAAAAACACCAAAATCTGACCCCAACCAACAACTTCTGACCCACTCCCCCAACTATTTACCACAACTACTGACCCCAACCACACAACATTCTGACCACAAACCACACAAACTACTGACACACAACCACACAACTTCTGACCAAAATACGTGGCCACAACCACAAAACTACTAAAAACAACCCAAACTTTTTAAAACAAAACTCTACCAAATTTAACACAACCACACAACTAATGACCACAATCACACAACTACTGAGCACAACCAAACAACTTCTGACACATCTAGTGACCACTACCACACAAATACTGACCACAACCACACTGCTTCTGACCACAACCACATACCTGCTGGCCACAACCACAGAGCTTCTGACAACACAACAACTGACAACTCAACTACTGACCATAACTACTGACAGAAACCACACAACTTCTGAATACTACCACACAACTTCTGACCACAACCACACAACTTCTGACCACAACCACACAACTTCTGAACACAACCACACAATTTCAGACAACCACAAAACTTCTGATGTAAACCACAGTCAGTCAGTCATCTACAAAACCACACAGCCTCTAACCACAAAACTACTTACCATTCATCTACTGACCACAACTACTGACCACAACCACACAACTACTGACCACAACCACACAACTTCTGACCACAACCACACAACTAATGACCACAACCTCATAACTATTGATGACACAACTAGTGACAACTTAACTACTGACAACAACTAATGACAAAAACCACTCAACTGCTGATCAAAACCACACAACCTTGAACCACCAAACTATGACCACAAACCTACTGAGCACAACCAAAAACCATGACAATCTAGTGCCACTACCACACAAATACTGACCACAACCACACACTTCGACCACAAACCACATACCCGCTGGCCACAACCCAAACTATGACACAAACCCAAAAATTTAAACCAAACTACTGAACCAAAAAAACTACTGACAAACCACACAAAATTCTGAAAACAAACCCCACAACTTTTGACCCAACCACCCCAATTTGACCACAACCAACAATTTTTGAACACAACCACAATTTCAAACAACCACAAAACTTCTTTGAAACCCCATCTAGTAACAAACCACAACCCCTAACCACCAAAACAACTTTAAAAAACCCCTATGACCACAAAACCCCTGAAAAAAACAACCCACACACAACTACTGACCACAACCACACAACTTCTGACCACAACCACACAACTAATGACACAACCCAAAACTTTGGGCAAATAGTGACCCAAAAAAACTTACAACAACAAACAAAAACCATCAACCAAAAACCAACCCCAATTTGACACACCAAATAAGGGCACCACAAACTACTGAGCACAACCAAACCACCCTGACACATTAGTGACCACTACCCCACAACTACTGACAAAAACCACCACAACTTCTGACCACAACCACTACCCGCTGGCCACAAACCACATAACTACTGACCACAACCCAGAACTTTGAAACCCCAACAAATGACAAACTCAACTACTAACCAAACTACTGACAAAAACCACACAACTTGAAAACCACACAACTCTGCCACTCAACCACCCCAACTTCTGACCACAACCAACAATTCTGACCACAACCAAACACAATTTACCACAACCACAAAACTTCATGAAAACCCCATCTAGTAACACTACAAAAAAACTCTACCACAATCACCAATTCTGAAAAAACAACCACAAACTGACCACAAAACCCCAAAAAACTTCTGAACAAACACAACTTCTGCAAAACCCCAAATTATGGACCCACAACTACTGGACCACAAACCCCACAACTTCTGACAACACCAAAACTTATGAAAACCCACACAACTCTGACCAAATATGACCACAACCACACAACTTTTCCACAACCCCAAAACTTCTACCACAACCCAAAATTTTGCAAACCACAATTTTGAAAACACAACCAAAAAACAGATGACACAATCCCAACAACTACTGACCCCAACCAAACAACTTCTGACCCCAAACCCCAAGTTTACCACTACCACACAACTACTGACCACAACCACAATTTCGAACAACCATACCTTGGCCACAACCACAAAACACTGACCACCCCCAAAAACAGACCACAACACAACAACTGACCACTCAATTACACTGACCAAACTATGACACAACACACAACTTCTAATTTCTACCCAAACCAAAAATTCTGACCAAAACCACCAACTCTGACCACAACCAACAACTTCTGACCCCAAACCCCAAAAATTCGGACAACCACAAAACTTCTGAAAAACCCCCACAATACTACAAACCACACAACCTCCTAAACCACAAAAACTACTTAAAAACCATCATCTACTACCAACCCAAAACTGCCAACCCACAAATATGACCAAACCACACAAAATTTGACACAAACACACAACTCTGACAAAACCAAAAAACTTCTGACAAAAAACCAAAACAAACTACTGACCACAACCACAACTTCTGAAAAACCACAAACTTCTGAAAAAACCAAAAGCCACACAATTTGAAAACCCCAACAAATGACCACAACACACAAACTTCTGACCCCAAAACACCCCAACTTCTGGAAACACCACAACTCTGACAAAAACCACACCCTTTCAGGGCCAAACCACAAAACCCAAAAACCAACCAACATAACTACTGACAAAAAACCCACAACCACACATTTGACCACACCACATAAAGACCAACACCACAAAACTACTGACCAAAACCACACAATTTCGACCACATTAGTGACACTCCACAAAACTAAAGACCACAACCACATAACTACTGACAACAACCACACAGCTTCTGACCACATCTAGTGACCACTACCACAAAACTAAAGACCACAACCACATAACTACTGACAACTCAACTACTGGCCACAACTACTGACCAAAACCACACAACTTTGACCACAACCACACAACTACTGACCCTCAACTGCTGACCATAACCACTGAACACAACCACACAATATCCGACCACAACTAACCAACTACTGACCACAACCACACAACTTCTGAATACCTCCACACAACTATGGACCAAAACCACACAACTTCTGACCACAACCACACAACCACATCCACACAACTTCTGACCACATCTAAGATCCACTACCACATTACTACTGTCAACAACCACACAACTTCTGACCACAACCAAAGACTGCTTCCCACATCTATTGACCACAACCACATACTGCTGACCACAACCACACAACTTCTGACAACAACCACACAACTACTGATAACACACCTACTGACCACTCAACTGCTGACCAGTACTTCTGACCACAGCCACACAACTTCTGAAAACAACCACACAACTTCTTTCGACATCTAATGACCACAACCAGAGAACTACTGAAAATAACAATACAACTTCTGACCACAACCACACAGCTGATTACAACAGCTAGTGTCCACAACCACATAACTACCGACCACAACCACACAACTTCTGACCACACAACTACTTACCACTCATCTACTGACCAAAACTACTGACCACAACCATACAACTTCTTACCACAACATGCACAACTAGCAATAATGCCATAGAGGGTGCGGTGTATGGCCTATATACCACGGCTAAGAGCAACGCGGAGTGCCTGGATACAGCCTTAGCCATGGTACATTGGCCAACACACCCCTGAGGTGCCTTATTGCTTTATTATAAACTGGTTACCAACGTACACAACTACTGACCACAACCACGCAACTTCTGACCACAACCACACATCCTCTGACCACATCTACTGAACACAACCACACAGCTACTGACAACAACCGCACAACTTCTGACAACAACCGCACAACTTCTGACCAAAACCACACAACTTCTAACCACAACCACACAACTACTGACCACAACTACTGACCACAACCACACAACTACTGACCACAACTACTTACCACAACCACACAGCTACTGACAACAACCAAACAACCACACATCTTCTGACCACATCTACTGAACACAACCACACAGCTACTGACAACAACTGCACAACTTCTGACCACAACCACACAACTTCTAACCACAACCACACAACTACTGACCACAACTACTGACCACAACCACACAACTACTGACCACAACTACTTACCACAACCACACAGCTACTGACAACAACCGCACAACTTCTGACCACAACCACACAACTGCTAATCACATCTGTTGACAACAACCACTAAACTACTGACCACAACCACAAAACTTCTGATAACACACATACTGACCACTCCCACACAACCTCTGAGCACAAACACACTACTGCTGACCACAACCACACAACTTCAAACCACACAACATCTGACCACAACCACACAATCACAACCACACAACTTCTGACCACATTTAGTGACCACAACCACACAACAACTGACCACAACCACATAACAACTGACCACATCTAGGATCCAACATCACACTACTACTTACAACAACCACAGAAATGCGGACCACAACCATACAATTGCTTATCACATCTAGTTACCACAACCACACTCCTACAGACCACAGCCAAGCAACTGACAACAAAACTACTGACCACTCATCTACTAAACACAACAGCTGAAAGCAACCACACAATTTATGACCACAACAACACAACTGCTGATGATATGTAGTGACCACAAACACATAACTACTCACCACAACAACACTACTACTGACAACAACCACATTACTTCTGACCACAACCACACAACTGCTTATCACATCAAGTGACCACAACCCCACAGCTGCTGACTACAACCACACAACGTATGATGACAACCACACAACATCTAGAGAACACAACAACACAACTACTGACAACAACCACACAACTACTGACCACAACCACACAACTTGTGATCACATCTTGTAAACACAAACAAAAAGCTACTGACAGCAACGACACAACTACTAACCAAAACCACAAAACTGCTTACAACACAACTACTTACCTCTCATCTACTGACCACAACTACAGACCACAACCACACAACTTTTGACCACAACCATACAACTTCTGACCACAACCAAACAATTTCTGACCACATTTAGTGACCTCTGCCACACAACTACTGACAACACCCACACAATTACTGACAACAACCACACAACTTCTGACCACAACCACATAACTGCTGACCACAACCACCCAACTTCTGACCACAAACACACAACTTCTGATGAAAACCACACAACTACTGACCACAACCACACAACTTCTGACCACAACCACACAACTACTGATAACACGACTACTAACAACTCAACTGCTGACCACAACTACTGACCACCACCACAACAACCATACAACTTATGACCACAAGCACACAACAGCATACAACACATAGTGACCACAACCACACAACAACTGAACATAACCACACAACTTCTGACCACTCATCTAATGATCACAACTACTGACCAAAACCCAAAAAACCTCTGACCACAACCACACAGTTACAGACAGCAACCAAACAACTTCTGACAACAACCACACAACTGCTTACCACAATTAGCGACCACAACCACACAACTACTGACCATAACCACACTACTAATGACCACAACCACACAACTGACAACAAAACTACTGACCATTAATCTGCTGACCACAACAACTGACCACAACCACACGGCTTCTGACCACAACCACACTACTGCTGTCAACATCTACTAACCACAATCACATAACTACTGACCACAACCACACAACTACTGACCACAACTTAACAACTTCAGACCACTCAACTACTGACCACTCAACTGCTTATCACAACTACTGATCACAACCACACAACTACTGACCACAACCACACAACTGCTTTCAATATCTTTTGACCACAACCACACAACTACTGACCACAACCATACCATTTCTAACCACAATACACAACTACTGATAACACACCAACTGACAACTCAACTGCTGACCAAAACTTCTGACCACAACCACTCAGCTTCTGACCACAACCACACAACTACTGACCACAACCACACAACTTCTGACAACATAACAACTGACCAATCATCTACTGACCACAACTACTGAACAAAACCACACAGCCTCTAACCACAAAACTACTTACCAGTCATCTACTGACCACAACTACTGACCACAACCACACAACTACTGACCACAACCACACAACTTCTGACCACAACCACACAACTTCTGACAACAGCAACAAAACTTCTGACGAAAAACCACACAACTACTGACCACAACCACACAACTTCTGACAACCACAAAACTTCTGATGAAAACCACAGTCAGTCAGTCATCTACTGACCACAACTACTGACCACAACCACACAACTTCTGACCACAACCATATAACTTCTGACCATCACCACACAACTACTGACCACAACCACACAATTTCAGACCACATTTAGTGACCTCTGCCACACAACCACTGACAACACCCACTGACAACACCCACACAACTACTGACCACAACCACAACACTTCTGACCACATCTAGTTACCACTACCACACAACTACTGACAACAATCACACAACTTCTGACCACATCTAGTGACCACAACCATACAACTTCTGACGAAAACCACTCAACTACTGACCACAACCACACAACTTCTGACAATTGTCACGCCCTGGCTCTGGGGACACTGTTATGTTGAGCCAGGGTGTGTAGATCTATGTTCCGTATTTCTGTGTTGGCCTGAGTGACTCCCAATCAGAGGCAACGAGTGTCAGCTGTTTTCTGGTTGTCTCTGATTGGGAGCCATATTTAATCTGTCGGTTTTTCCTTTGGTTTTGTGGGTTCTTGTTCGTGTTGGTTTGTGTTTAAACCATAGACGTCACGTTTTTTCGTTTGTTGTTTTGATCATGTGATCATTAAATAAATATAAATATGTTCAACTACAACGCTGCGCCTTGGTCTCTCCCTGACGATCGTGACAACAATGACCCCAAAACGTCTGACCACAACCACACAACTTCTGACCACAACCACACAACTTCTGACCACAACCACACAACTTCTGACCACAACCACACAACTTCTGACCACAACCACACGACCACTGATAACACAACTACTGACAACTTAACTGCTAACCACAATTACTGACCACAACCACACAACCTCGGACCACAAACACACTTCTGCTTACCACATATAGTCACCACAACCACAAGCACACAACTTCTGACCACAACCACACAACCACTGATAACACAACTACTGACAACTTAACTGCTAACCACAATTACTGACCACAACCACACAACCTCGGACCACAAACACACTTCTGCTTACCACATATAGTCACCACAACCACAACCACACAACTTCTGACCACATAACTACTGACCACAACCATTCACTTCTGACCGCAAGCACACAACTGCTTACTAAAACCACACAACTTCTGAACACAACTTCTGACCACAACCACACAACCTCAGACCACTCAACTACTGACCACTCACTTGCTTACCACAACTACTGACCACAACCACACAACTTCCAACCACAACCACACAACTGCTGACCACAGTGTCTGACCACAACAACACAACTTCTGACCACAACCACACAACTGCTTAAAACAGCTAGTGACCACAATCACACAACTACTCACCACAACCACACAACTTCTGAAAACATAACGACTGACCACTCATCTACTGACCACAACTTCTGACCACAACCACACAACTTCTGACCACAACCACACAACTTCTGACCACAACCACACAACTACTGACCACAAGCACACAACTTCTGACCACAAACACACAACTACTGACCACAACCACACAACTTCTGACCACAAACACACAACTACTGACCACAACCACATAACTTCTGACCATCACCACACAACTACTGACCACAACCACAAAATTTCAGACCACATTTAGTGACCTCTGCCACACAACCACTGACAACACCCACTGACAACACCCACACAACTACTGACCCCAACCACAACACTTCTGACCACATCTGGTTACCACTACCACACAACTACTGACAACAATCACACAACTTCTGACCACAACCACACAACTAATGACCAGATCCACACAACTTCTGACCACAACCAAACTACTGCTGACCACATATAGTCCTAACAACCACAACCACACAACTTCTGACCACACAACTACTGACCACAACCACATAAATATTGACCACAACCATTCACTTCTGACTGCAAGCACACAACTGCTTACTACAACCACACAACTTCTGACCACATCTACTGACCACAACCACACAATTCCTGACCACAACCACAAAACTGCTTCCCACATCTTTTGACCACAACCACACAGCTACTGACCACAACCATACAATTTCTAACCACAACCATACAACTACTGACAACAACCACACAATTTCTGACAACAACCACAAAACTGCTTCCCACATCTTTTGACCACAACCACACAGCTACTGACCACAACCATACAATTTCTAACCACAACCATACAACTACTGACAACAACCACACAATTTCTGACAACAACCACAAAACTGCTTCCCACATCTTTTGACCACAACCACACAGCTACTGACCACAACCATACAATTTCTAACCACAACCACACAACTACTGATAACACACCAACTGACAACTCAACTGCTGACCACAACCACACAGCTTCTGACCACAACCACACAACTTCTTACGAAAACCACACAACTACTGACCACAAACACACAACTTCTGACCACGACCACAAAACTTCTGACCACAACTACACAACTCCTGACCACAACCACACAAGTTGTGACCACATCTAGTGACCACAACCACACATCTATTGACCACAACCACACAACTTCTGACCACAAACACACAACTACTGATAACACACCTACTGACCACTCAACTGCTGACCACAACTACTGACCACAACTACTGACCAAATCTACTGACCACTATTGACTATAGTAGGGAATTTTAAATTATTTCACTATTCAAATAATATAATTAAACTACAACTTTTTTAAACTTCTTTCAATACCACAAAAATACATTTAAAGAGCTTTAGCAATTCCCACAACATTACTAATAAAGTTAGTATCTAGTTCTTAAATAGTAAAAAGCTGATTTTGTCACATTACTGATGTGTGAGTCTAAAATCACACCTAGGTTTTTAGCCTTCAGGGTTGCAATAGTGCCAGAGAATTTGACTAACTGTCTAGGCCAGGCTATTGTGCAATAGTGCCAGAGAATCAGTTTCTCTCTATGGGCCTCAGATTTGTCTTTTTGTAGCTGTAGGAAGTTTTCTGAAATCATTTTAGTGATCCTTTCTACTGCTTCTCGCTCTCCTCTCCATATGGCCTCGCCTCTCTCTCTCTCTCTCTCTCACACACACACACACACACACACACACACACACACACACACACACACACACACACACACACACACACACTCTTACTCACACTCACACTCACACTCACAAACACACAAACACACACACAATAACAACACAGTCAACACAGTGTTGCGCTGTATGTTGTCCCCGTGTCCCCCAGACCCTCCAGATGGTTCCCCCTCCTGCTCTGTTCTGCCAGCAATGAACTACTCCTCCCTCAACCTGAGCTGTTCATGGCCACAACCACACAACTTCTGACCACAACCACACAACTTCTGACCACAACCACACAACTTCTGACCACAACCACACGACCACTGATAACACAACTACTGACAACTTAACTGCTAACCACAATTACTGACCACAACCACACAACCTCGGACCACAAACACACTTCTGCTTACCACATATAGTCACCACAACCACAAACACACAACTTCTGACCACAACCACACAACCACTGATAACACAACTACTGACAACTTAACTGCTAACCACAATTACTGACCACAACCACACAACCTCGGACCACAAACACACTTCTGCTTACCACATATAGTCACCACAACCACAACCACACAACTTCTGACCACACAACTACTGACCACAACCATTCACTTCTGACCGCAAGCACACAACTGCTTACTAAAACCACACAACTTCTGAACACAACTTCTGACCACAACCACACAACCTCAGACCACTCAACTACTGACCACTCACTTGCTTACCACAACTACTGACCACAACCACACAACTTCCAACCACAACCACACAACTGCTGACCACAGTGTCTGACCACAACAACACAACTTCTGACCACAACCACACAACTGCTTAAAACAGCTAGTGACCACAATCACACAACTACTCACCACAACCACACAACTTCTGAAAACATAACGACTGACCACTCATCTACTGACCACAACTTCTGACCACAACCACACAACTTCTGACCACAACCACACAACTTCTGACCACAACCACACAACTACTGACCACAACCACACAACTTCTGACCACAAACACACAACTACTGACCACAACCACACAACTTCTGACCACAAACACACAACTACTGACCACAACCACATAACTTCTGACCATCACCACACAACTACTGACCACAACCACAAAATTTCAGACCACATTTAGTGACCTCTGCCACACAACCACTGACAACACCCACTGACAACACCCACACAACTACCGACCCCCAACCACAACACTTCTGACCACATCTGGTTACCACTACCACACAACTACTGACAAACAATCACACAACTTCTGACCACAACCACACAACTAATGACCAGATCCACACAACTTCTGACCACAACCACACTACTGCTGACCACATATAGTCCTAACAACCACAACCACACAACTTCTGACCACACAACTACTGACCACAACCACATAAATATTGACCACAACCATTCACTTCTGACTGCAAGCACACAACTGCTTACTACAACCACACAACTTCTGACCACATCTACTGACCACAACCACACAATTCCTGACCACAACCACAAAACTGCTTCCCACATCTTTTGACCACAACCACACAGCTACTGACCACAACCATACAATTTCTAACCACAACCATACAACTACTGACAACAACCACACAATTTCTGACAACAACCACAAAACTGCTTCCCACATCTTTTGACCACAACCACACAGCTACTGACCACAACCATACAATTTCTAACCACAACCATACAACTACTGACAACAACCACACAATTTCTGACAACAACCACAAAACTGCTTCCCACATCTTTTGACCACAACCACACAGCTACTGACCACAACCATACAATTTCTAACCACAACCACACAACTACTGATAACACACCAACTGACAACTCAACTGCTGACCACAACCACACAGCTTCTGACCACAACCACACAACTTCTTACGAAAACCACACAACTACTGACCACAAACACACAACTTCTGACCACGACCACAAAACTTCTGACCACAACTACACAACTCCTGACCACAACCACACAAGTTGTGACCACATCTAGTGACCACAACCACACATCTATTGACCACAACCACACAACTTCTGACCACAAACACACAAACTACTGATAACACACCTACTGACCACTCAACTGCTGACCACAACTACTGACCACAACTACTGACCAAATCTACTGACCACTATTGACTATAGTAGGGAATTTTAAATTATTTCACTATTCAAATAATATAATTAAACTACAACTTTTTTAAACTTCTTTCAATACCACAAAAATACATTTAAAGAGCTTTAGCAATTCCCACAACATTACTAATAAAGTTAGTATCTAGTTCTTAAATAGTAAAAAGCTGATTTTGTCACATTACTGATGTGTGAGTCTAAAATCACACCTAGGTTTTTAGCCTTCAGGGTTGCAATAGTGCCAGAGAATTTGACTAACTGTCTAGGCCAGGCTATTGTGCAATAGTGCCAGAGAATCAGTTTCTCTCTATGGGCCTCAGATTTGTCTTTTTGTAGCTGTAGGAAGTTTTCTGAAATCATTTTAGTGATCCTTTCTACTGCTTCTCGCTCTCCTCTCCATATGGCCTCGCCTCTCTCTCTCTCTCTCTCACACACACACACACACACACACACACACACACACACACACACACACACACACACACACACACACACACACACACACTCTTACTCACACTCACACTCACACTCACAAACACACAAACACACACACAATAACAACACAGTCAACACAGTGTTGCGCTGTATGTTGTCCCCGTGTCCCCCAGACCCTCCAGATGGTTCCCCCTCCTGCTCTGTTCTGCCAGCAATGAACTACTCCTCCCTCAACCTGAGCTGTTCATGGCCGGGGGGGCTGCCCCCCCCTTCACTACGCTGGACCACAAACCTACAGGTACACACACACACACACACACACACACACACACACACACACAGAAAGGCTCCTAACAATTTAAATGATTGTTATTCTGGTTGTTATTGCATCAGGGAGGGGCGTGGCTTGGGGGTGAAGGGGCGTGGCCAGCCAACAATGTCTCCGTACTGCAGTCTGGATCCCAAACCTCCAACAACTCTCTGTTCACCTGCCTGGGGACGCACCCTGCTCTCAACACCTCCACACAATGCACTGCACGGGCCTGTAAGTCTCTCTCTCACACACACACACACACACACACACACACCACACACACACACACACACACACACACACACACACACACACACACACACACACACACATATGGCACAGGCCTGTACATCACACAAACGCAACACTGCCCCTAACTTGGCTCTCCCCTCTCTCTCTCTCTCTCTCTCTCTCTCTCTCTCTCTGTGTCTCTCTGTCTCTCTCTCTCTCTCTCTCTCTCTCTCTCTCTCTCTCTCTCTCTCTCTCTCTCTCTCTCTCTCTCTGTGTCTCTCTGTCTCTCTGTCTCTCTGTCTCTCTGTCTCTCTGTCTCTGTCTCTCTGTCTCTCTCTCTCTCTCTCTCTGTCTCTCTCTCTCAGGGTCTCCTTATGGTGAACCAGTGTGTTCTGCTTATGCCACCGGTAAGAACCAGTACCTGCTGCTGTCCTGCTCCTGGGAAGGTAACCACAACCACCACCACAACAACCACAACAAGAACCACCACCACAACCACCACCACAACCACCACCACAAACAACCACCACAGTCACAGCCACAACAACCACAACAAGAACCACCACCATCAACACCACCACAACCACCACCACAACAACAACCACAGTCACAGCCACAACAACCACAACAAGAACCACCACCATCAACACCACCACCACAACCACAACCACAACCACCACCATCAACACCACCACCACAACAACCACAACAACAATGACATTCACAACAATAATAACAATAATAATATTGTTCTTGTAGGTGGGTCTCCCAGGACTGTGGTGTGGTGGGAGGGGCCTCAAGGAGAGGGGAGGGGCCAAGGAGTGGAGACCTCCAACATCCTGGTACTTCGTTCTAACTCCACCCAGAATGGACAGGCCTACACCTGCTATGCCAAACACCCCCTAGCCATACTCACCAGGACCTGCAGCCTCAGACTTGGTAAGCACATACACACAAACCAATAAGGTCTTACGGTTTCAGGTCAACTTTTGACGAATCATGGACAAACCTCTATTTTTGACCTATTTTGGACTGCATTTTTCCCACGTGGTTACAGGTTTTGCAATGGGGTTAAAACAGAAACAACTCGACGGTTAACAGTTTAGGAAGTAATTCAGACTCATTAAGGTTGGGGCTAATGTTTGGGATAGTAAAAAATATAATAATACGCTATTTCACATCAAGTAGATTAGCGTCCAGCACTAGTGTTGTCAACGGCGATGGCTGAGTGGAATAAGCTGCTGCATCACTGGTCCAATCCCAGAGCTAGGCAGTCTTTTATTTACATTTTATAATGAGTGCAAAAAAGTTCAATATTTGACATTTGGGGGACCTGAATAAACATCTAATATTAAAATCTACATTGTGTGATCTCCCTCCTGTCACGCCCTGGCTCTGGGACTATGTTATGTTGAGCCAGGGTGTGTAGTTTCTATGTGTTTGTGTTCTGTGTTTAAGTTCTAGTGCTTGTGTTTCTATGTTGGCCGGGGTGGTTCTCAATCAGAGGCAACGTGAATCAGCTGTTGCTTGTTGTCTCTGATTGGGAACCATACTTAGGCAGCCGTTTGGGCATTGTCATTTGTGGGATCTTGTTCCGTATGGTGTGTATCGTAACCAAGGACTTCACGTTTCGTATCGTTTGTTGTTTTTGTTCGTTCAATAAATAAGTATGTTCACTTATCACGCTGCGCATTGGTCCACTTCCTCCGACGATCGTGACACCTCCACATACAATTTTTTTTATTTATTGTAAAGTGGTTATCCCACTGGCTATAGGGTGAATGCACCAATTTGTAAGTCGCTCTGGATAAGAGCGTCTGCTAAATGACGTAAATGTAAATGTAAATGATACACACACACACACATTGATAACAGTGAAGGGTAATGTCTGAACATATCGAGAACAGTAAAGAGTAATTTATTATTTTACATTCTAGTAATTTAGCAGACGCTCTTATCCAGAGCGACTTACAGTAGTGAGTGCATACATTTTCATAAAATTATAATAGTCATACTGTAATGTAATGTCTGAACACATTGATAACAGTAAGGGTCCTGGTACAGAGCCCTGTGGGATGCCACTGGATTTAACTAACAGTCTAATAGACATGTACTGGGTTTAACTAACAGTCTAATAGACATGTACTGGGTTTAACTAACAGTCTAGACATGTACTGGGTTTAATTATCAGTCTAATAGACATGTACTGGGTTTAACTAACAGTCTAATAGACATGTACTGGGTTTAACTAACAGTTTAATATACATGTACTGGGTTTAACTAACAGTCTAATAGACATGTACTGGGTTTAACTAACATTGTAATAGACATGTACTGGGTTTAATTATCAGTCTAATAGACATGTACTGGGTTTAATTATCAGTCTAATAGACATGTACTGGGTTTAACTAACAGCCTAATAGACATGTACTGGGTTTAATTATCAGTCTAATAGACATGTACTGGGTTTAACTAACATTGTAATAGACATGTACTGGGTTTAACTATCAGTCTAATAGACATGTACTGGGTTTAACTAACAGTCGAATAGACATGTACTGGGTTTAACAGTCGAATAGACATGTACTGGTTTTAACTAAACAGTGTAATATACATGTACTGGGTTAACTAACAGTTTAATATACATGTACTGGGTTTAACTAACGTCTAATAGACATGTACTGGTTTAACTAACATTGTAATAGACCATGTACTGGGTTTAACCAACTGTTTAATATACATGTACTGGGTTTAAACTAACAGTCTAATAGACATGTACTGGGTTTAACTAACAGTCGAATAGACATGTACTGGTTTTAACTAACAGTGTAATAGACATGTACTGGGTTTAACTAACAGTTTAATATACATGTACTGGGTTTAACTAACAGTCTAATAGACATGTACTGGGTTTAACTAACATTGTAATATACATGTACTGGGTTTAACCAACAGTTTAATATACATGTACTGGGTTTAAACTAACAGTCGAATAGACATGTACTGGGTTTAACGAACAGTGTAATAGACATGTACTGGGTTTAACTAACAGTCTAATAGACATGTACTGGGTTTAACTAACAGTCTAATGGACATGTACTGGGTTTAACTAACAGTGATTGACTCTCTCTCTCTCTCTCTCCCTCCCTGTGTGTTTGTAGAGGCTCCAGTCTTGTTGACCCAGCGTAGTGTGGTGTCTGTGTTTGAGGGCAGTGACGTCCAGCTCACCTGTATCCTGCAAGCCAACTATCCCCCGGCCAATCAGATCGTCTGGTTCAACAACCGCAGACAGGAAGTCATACAGGTACATGCCCTGCCCCCCTCTGAATCTGGTGCCAATGACCTGCTGCTAACTTTTTGGATCTAGGCCAGGTTACTGTAAAGTACTTTAAGGCTCTGGGCTGAGCTACTGTAAAGTACTTTGGGTTCCAAGTTACTGTAAAGTATTTTTAGGGTCTAGGCTGGGCTACCTTAAAGTACTTTGGCGGTCCAAGTTAGTGTAAAGTACTTTGAAGGTCTAGGCCAGGGTACTGTAAAGAAGTTTGGGGTCTAGGTTAATGTAAAGTACTTTGAGGGTCTAGGCCAGGCTACCGTAAAGTACAATGCATGACCAAAAGTATGTGAACACCTACTCGTAGAACATCTCATTCCAGAATAATGGGCATTAATATCGAGTTGGTCCCCCCTTTGCTGCTATAACAACCTCCACTCTTCTTGGAAGGCTTTTCACTAGATGTTGGAACATTGCTGCGGGGACTTGCTTCCATTCAGCCACAAGAGCATTAGTGAGGTCGGGCACTGATGTTGGGCGATTAGGCCTGGCTCGCAGTCGGCGTTCCAATTCATCCCAAATGTATTCAATGGGGTTGAGGTCAGGGCTCTGTGCAGGCCAGTCAAGTTCTTCCACACCAATCTTGACAAACCATTTCTGTATTGACCTCGCTTTGTGCACGGGGGCATTGTCATGCTGAAACAGGAAAGGGCCTTCCCCAAACAGTTGCCACAAAGTTGGAACACAGAATCATCTAGAATATCATTGTATGTCTCCTGAGTGGCGCAGTGGTCTAAGGCTGTGCCACTAGAGATCCTGGTTCGAATCCAGGCTCTGTCATAGCCGGCCGCTACCGGAGACCCATGTGGCGGCGAACAATTGGCCCAGCGTCGTCCAGGGTAGGGGAGGGAATGGCCGGCAGGGATGTAGCTGAGTTGGTAGAGCATGGCATTTTCAACGCCAGGATTGTGGGTTCGATTCCCATGGGGGGCCAGTATTAAAAAAAACACACCCAAAAAAATGTATGCACTACTAACTGTAAGTCGCTCTGGATTAAAGCGTCTGCAAAATGACTAAAATGTAAAAATGTATGCTGTAGCATTAAGATTTCACTTCACTGGAAATAAGGGGCCTAGCCGAACCATGAAAAACAGCCCCAGACCATTATTCCTCCTCCACCAAACTTTACAGTTGGCACTATGGGGCAGGTAGCGTTCTTCTGGCATCCGCCAAACCCAGATTCATCCGTCGGACTGCCAGATGGTGAAGCGGGGTTAGGGTTAGGGTTAGAGTCCAATGGTGGTGAACTTTACACCCCTCTACCCAACGCTTGGCATTGCGCATGGTGATCTTAGGCTTGTGTGCGGCTGCTCAGCCATGGAAACCCATTTCATGAAGCTCCCGACCAACAGTTATTGTGCTGACGTTGCTTCCAGAGGCAGTTTAGAGCTCTGTAGTGAGTGTTGCAACCGAGGACAGACGATTTTTACGCGCTACGCGGATCAGCACACGGCGGTCCCATTCTGTGAGCTTGTGTGGCCTACAACTTCACGGCTGAACCGTTGTTGCTCCTAGACGTTTCCACTTCACAATAACAGCACTTACAGTTGACTGGGGCAGCTCTGGCAGGGCAGAAATGTGATGAACTGACTTGTTGGAAAGGTGGCATCCTATGACTTTGCCACACTGAAAATCACTGAGCTCTTCAGAAAGGCCATTCTACTGCCAATGTTTGTCTATGGAGATTGCATGGCTGGGTGCTCGATTTTATACACCTGTCAGCAACGGGTGTGGCTGAAATAGCCGATTCCACGAATTTGAAGGGGTGTCCACATACTGCTGTATATATAGTGTACTTTGGGGATGGGCTACTGTAAAGTACGTTGAGGGTCCAAGTTACTGTTAAGAACTTTGAGGGTCTAGGTTACTGTTGTTAAAAAAGGTTATGAAAATGTGAAGAACGTGAAGATATATAGATATCTGCTTTGTCTGTTTAATTAAATGCAGACCTACCTGTGATAAGTAGAGTTAAAAGGTGATTGGTTGATTGACAGGAAGTCCAGGAAGCCCTGGACACAACCAGGAAGTATGTGCTGCGTCGTGCGGCTGCGTGGACCAACCTGACGGTCCTAGAGACAGATGGAACAACAGACAGTGGCCAATACTGGTGCTCTGCTAGCAACGCTGTGGGAGGGACCGAGATCCCTGTTACGCTATTGGTTAAGAGTAAGATCCCTGTTACACTATTGGTCAAGAGAAAGATCCATGTTACACTATTGGTCAAGAGAAAGATCCATGTTACACTATTGGTCAAGAGTAAGAACAATAAAGCATTAGTCTGTAAACACACAAAACAAAACTAAAAGGTTTTCTGATGAACTGAAGGACTATTTCATTACTGTTCTACTGTACATCCTCCTCCTCACATCCCCTTCTGTCTCTCTGTCTCCCTGCGTCTCCCCCCTCTCAGGATACCCCATGCCCCCCAATGTGACCCTGGTAAGGCTGGTTTACAGCAGTCGGCAGCGCAAAGAGGTGGAGCTGGAGTGGCTGATGGAGGGAGAGGGAGAAGGAGGAGAGGGAGGAGGTCTGACTGGGTTCCTACTTGAGCGCAGACTGGAGGAGGCACCGGGGAGGAGGAGAGGAGAGGAGGAACAAGAGAAGGAGAGAGAAGAGGCTGGTGCAGCTCCTGCTGAACAAAAGGTGAGCCAGAAAGAGAGTTGGGGGGGCCAGAGAACACACAATAATACAATGCTGTTGTTCTGAATGGACTAAGAAAACTTCTGCTGTTCCACTAGATACACTGATAGAACACAACTATCTAGTAGATACCCTGATAGCTGTGTTGTATATAGTAGATAGTTGTGTTCTATCTAGTAGATACCCTGATAGTTGTGTTCTATCTAGTAGATACCCTGATAGTTGTGTTATATCTAGTAGATACCCTGATAGTTGTGTTCTATCTAGTAGATACCACTGATAGTTGTGTTCTATCTAGTAGATACCCTGATAGTTGTGTTCTATCTAGAATATACCCTGATAGCTGTGTTCTATCTAGTAGATACCCTGATAGTGTGTTCTATCTAGTAGATACCCTGATAGCTGTGTTCTATCTAGTAGATACCCTGATAGTTGTGTTCTATCTAGTAGATACCCTGATAGTTGTGTTCTATCGACTAGATACCCTGATAGTTGTGATCTATCTAGTAGATACACTGATAGCTGTGTTCCATATATCAGATACCCTTATAGTTGTGCTATATCTAGTAGATACCCTGATAGTTGTGTTCTATCTAGTACATACCCTGATAGTTGTGTTCTATATACTGCTCAAAAAAATAAAGGGAACACTAAAATAACACATCCTAGATCTGAATGAACGAAATCATCTTATTAAATACTTTTGTCTTTACATAGTTGAATGTGCTGACAACAAAATCACACACAAATTATCAATGGAAATCAAATGTATCAACCCCATGGAGGTCTGGATTTGGAGTCACCCTCAAAATTAAAGTGGAAAACCACACTACAGGCTGATCCAACTTTGATGTAATGTCCTTAAAACAAGTCAAAATGAGACTCAGTAGTGTGTGTGGCCTCCACGTGTCTGTATGACCTCCCTACAACGCCTGGGCATGCTCCTGATCAAATCAAATCAAATCAAATCAAATTGTATTGGTCACATGCGCCGAATACAACAGGTGCAGACATTACAGTGAAATGCTTACTTACAGCCCTTAACCAACAGTGCATTTATTTTAAACAAAAAAAGTAAAAATAAAACAACAACAAAAAAAGTGTTGAGAAAAAAAAGAGCAGAAGTAAAATAAAGTGACAGTAGGGAGGCTATATATACAAGGGGGTACCGTTGCAGAGTCAATGTGCGGGGGCACCGGCTAGTTGAGGTAGTTGAGGTAATATGTACATGTGGGTAGAGTTAAAGTGACTATGCATAAATACTTAACAGAGTAGCAGCAGCGTAAAAGGATGGGGTGGGGGGGGCAGTGCAAATAGTCCGGGTAGCCATGATTAGCTGTTCAGGAGTCTAATGGCTTGGGGGTAGAAGCTGTTGAGAAGTCTTTTGGACCTAGACTTGGCACTCCGGTACCGCTTGCCGTGCGGTAGCAGAGAGAACAGTCTATGACTAGGGTGGCTGGAGTCTTTGACAATTTTGAGGGCCTTCCTCTGACACCGCCTGGTATAGAGGTCCTGGATGGCAGGAAGCTTTGCCCCAGTGATGTACTGGGCCGTACGCACTACCCTCTGTAGTGCCTTGCGGTCGGAGGCCAAGCAGTTGCCATACCAGGCGGTGGATGCAACCAGTCAGGATGCTCTCGATGGTGCAGCTGTAGAATTTTTTGAGGATCTGAGGACCCATGCCAAATCTTTTTAGTCTCCTGAGGGGGAATAGGCTTTGTCGTGCCCTCTTCACGACTGTCTTGGTGTGTTTGGACCATGATAGTTCGTTGGTGATGTGGACACCAAGGAACTTGAAGCTCTCAACCTGTTCCACTACAGCCCCGTCGATGAGAATGGGGGCGTGCTCAGTCCTCTTTTTTTTTCCTGTAGTCCACAATCATCTCCTTTGTCTTGGTCACGTTGAGGAAGAGGTTGTTGTCCTGGCACCACACGGCCAGATCTCTGACTTCCTCCCTATAGGCTGTCTCATTGTTGTCGGTGATCAGGCCTACCACTGTTGTGTCGTCGGCAAACTTAATGATGGTGTTGGAGTCGTGCCTGGCCATGCAGTCATGGGTGAACAGAGAGTACAGGAGGGGACTGAGCACGCACCCCTGAGGGGCCCCCGTGTTGAGGATCAGTGTGGCAGATGTGTTGTTTCCTACCCTTACCACCTGGGGGCGGCCCGTCAGGAAGTCCAGGATCCAGTTGCAGAGGGAGGTGTTTAGTCCCAGGATCCTTAGCTTAGTGATGAGCTTAGAGGGCACTATGGTGTTGAATGCTGAGCTCTAGTCAATGAATAGCATTCTCACGTAGGTGTTCCTCTTGTCCAGGTGGGAAAGGGCAGTGTGGAGTGCAATAGAGATTGCATCATCTGTGGATCTGTTGGGGCGGTATGCAAATTGGAGTGGGTCTAGGGTTTCTGGGATAATGCTGTTTATGTGAGCCATGACCAGCCTTTCAAAGCACTTCATGGCTACAGACGTCAGTGCTACGGGTCGGTAGTCATTTAGACAGGTTATCTTAGAGTCCTTGGGCATGGGGACTATGGTGGTCTGCTTGAAACATTTTGGTATTACAGACTCAGTCAGGGACATGTTGAAAATGTCAGTGAAGACACTTGCCAGTTGGTCAGCACATGCTCGGAGTACACGTCCTGGTAATCCGTCTGGCCCTGCGGCCTTGTGAATGTTGACCTGCTTAAAAGTCTTACTCACATCGGCTACGGAGAGCGTGATCACATAGTCATCAGGAACAGCTGGTGCTCTCATGCATGCTTCAGTGTTGCTTGCCTCGAAGCGAGCATAGAAGTGGTTTAGCTCGGTCTGGTAGGTTTGTGTCACTGGGCAGCTCGCGGCTGTGCTTCCCTTTGTAGTCTGTAATAGTTTTCAAGCTCTGCCCCATCCGACGAGTGTCAGAGCCAGTGTAGTACGATTCAATCTTAGACCTGTATTGACTCTTTGCCTGTTTGATGGTTCGTCGGAGGTCATAGCGGGATTTCTTATAAGCGTCCGGGTTAGAGTCCCGTTCCTTGAAAGCGGCAGCTCTACCCTTTAGCTCAGTGCGGATGTTTCCTGTAATCCATGGCTTCTGGTTGGGGTATGTACGTACGGTCACTGTGGGGACGACATCATCGATGCACTTATTGATGAAGCCAGTGACTGATGTGGTGTACTCCTCAATGCTGTCTGAAGAATCCCAGAACATGTTCCAGTCTGTGCTAGCAAAACAGTCCTGTAGCTTAGCATCTGCGTCATCTGACCACTTTTTTATTAACCGAGTCACTGGTGCTTCCTGCTTTAGTTTTTGCTTATAAGCAGGAATCAGGAGGATAGAGTTATGGTCAGATTTGCCAAATGGAGGGCGAGGGAGAGCTTTGTATGCGTCTTTGTGTGTGGAGTAAAGGTGGTCTAGAGTTTTTTTTTCCCTCTGGTTGCACATTTAACATGCTGGTAGAAATTAGGTAGAACTGGATTTAAGTTTCCCTGCATTAAAGTCCCCGGCCACTAGGAGCGCTGCATCTGGATGAGCGTTTTCCTGTTGATTTATGGCCTTGTACAACTCATTCAGTGCAATCTTAATGCCAGCATTGGTTTGTGGTGGTAAATAGACAGCTATGAAAAATATAGATGAAAACTCTCTTGGTAAATAGTGTGGTCTACAGCTTATCATAAGATACTCTACCTCAGGCGAGCAAAACCTCGAGACTTCCTTAGTATTTGATTTGTGCACCAGCTGTTGTTTACAAATATACACAGACCGCCACCCCTTGTCTTACCGGAGTCAGCCGTTCTGTCCTGCCGATGTAGCGTATAGCCTGCTAGCTGAATGTTATCATTGTCGTCGTTCAGCCACGACTCGGTGAAACATAAGATATTACAGTTTTTTAATGTCCCGTTGGTAGGATAACCGTAATCTTAAAGTCGTCCACTTTATTTTCAAAAGATTGAACGTTGGCTAATAGGATTGATGGAAGAGGCAGTTTACTCACTCGCCGTCGGATCCTTACAAGGCACCCCGATCTGCGTCCACGATATCTCCGTCTCTTCCTCACGCGAATGACGGGGATTTGGGCCTTGTCGGGTGTCTGTATGATATCCTTCGCGGCCGCCTCGTTGAAGAAAAAATCTTCGTCCAATACTGAGGTGAGTAATCGCTGTCCTGATATCCAGAAGCTCTTTTTGGTTATAAGAGACGATGGCAGAAACATTATGTACAAAATAAATTACAAATAACGCGGAAAAACACACATAATAGTACAATTGGTTAGAGGGCTGTAAAACGGCAGCCATCTTCTCCGGCGCTGTGTTCAGGTGAGGTGGCGGATAGTCTCCTGAGGGATCTCCTCCCAAACCTGGACTAAAGCATCCGCCAACTCCTGGACAGTCTGTGGTGCAACGTGGCGTTGGTGGATGGAGCGAGACATGATGTCCCAGATGTGCTCAATTGGATTCAGGTCTGGGGAACGGGCGGGCCAGTCCATAGCATCAATGCCTTCCTCTTGCAGGAACTGCTGACACTCTCCAGCCACATTAGGTCTAGCATTGTCTTGCATTAGGAGGAACACAGGGCCAACCGCACCAGCATATGGTCTCACAAGGGGTCTGAGGATCTCATCTCGGTACCTAATGGCAGTCAGGCTACCTCTGGCGAGCACATGGAGGGCTGTGCGGCCCCCCAAAGAAATGCCACCCCACAACATGACTGACCCACCGCCAAACCGGTCATGCTGGAGGATGTTGCAGGCAGCAGAACGTTCTCCAAGGCGTCTCCACACTCTGTCACGTCTGTCACGTGCTCAGTGTGAACCTGCTTTCATCTGTGAAGAGCACAGGGCGCCAGTGGCGAATTTGCCAATCTTGGTGTTCTCTGGCAAATGCCAAACGTCCTGCACGGTGTTGGGCTGTAAGCACACACAACCCCCACCTGTGGACGTCGGGCCCTCATACCACCCTCATTGGAGTCTGTTTCTGACCATTTGAGCAGACACATGCACATTTGTGGCCTGCTGGAGGTCATTTTGCAGGGCTCTGGCAGTGCTCCTCCTGCTCCTCCTTGCACAAAGGCGGAGGTAGCAGTCC